CCCCCTCCCTGCCCCCTCCTCTCCACGTAGCCGATGCAGCACCCCCTCCTGCCCCCTCCTCACATTGGGGATTCCACATAGCCGGCCCAGCACGCCGCGGTGTCCCCATGTGTTCTGCGCTACCACCCACGCGTCACCATGCCTTCTGTCCGCCCCACACCTCTTTTGTCTCCCTTCCTGGGGTCGGCGGCACTGGGCGGCAGCCCTTAATTAGATTCCTCCGATCCTGTTGGTTCTCCTAAGGACCCGACTGATCCAGTGAGCATGCCACCTCGAAGCAATACTCGCGAAGAGCCCAGGAGGTGAAGCGAACCTGTGTTTCTTGGAGGGCATTGCCGCTCGCGCTGTCACCAGACAACACATTTCATGGCACCAACAAGTCCGCCTGTGACCATACAGTTATCGAGCAACAGGTCAGAGTCGAAAAGTCTCAAAGACCCTGTGATCATCCTGTGAAAGCAAAGCAACAATGAAACCGCATGAAACCTATCAGATCAAGTTTATCAAGACTCAATTCCAACTGTTTGAGTTGGGACAATGTCACAGCAAGAAGCGCACCCTCGAGCAATGTGACGGCGTTGCTCTCTCATCTCCAAAGGTTGCACATACATTGGGGACACCTGTTCACCACGTCTCGCATCTCCATCATGTGAGGAGCAGTCCACAAGCCTTATGAATATTTTTGGGGGGTGGTATTGCAGTTCTATTCCAATCAATGGTCTGTCAGAACTGGTGTTCTGGATCAGCTGATTGAGGGGCAACAAGTGAGACCCAAGCCACACGATGTTTTTCTGCTTGAAGAATACACCAACCCAGTCGCGTCGCGCCCAGTGTCGTACAGTACAGTGCCGCCTCAGTCTGTACGTTCAAGGTGTCAGCCCAGTGAGCGGCTTGATTCTGCCTTGGATCACATGCTGAAGCCGAAGCGAATGGCAGAGTGGATTCTCCGTGGTTTATTAGTCTACCAACTGGTGTTTTTCACAAATTTCCACAACCCAAGAAGAAATGAACGACACCAACCCTGAAGTATCTGAGACTTTGCCGAGGCATGCTTTGAGTTCATTATCATCTTGGCTATCCCTTCAACAATCACAATTCTCCTTGCGAATCAAAACACTTGGTAATGTACATTCAAACAAAACCATGTTCAAAAGATTCAACATGATTCAGCTATATTGGAATCAGTTGAAATACAATTCCTCTCTCGCAGGGCGATGCACCATTCAGTACAGACTTTCGCAGTGCCGAGCTTCGGCTCAGGCCTTTGGTGAGTTCCATTGATGCCTTGAGCGCGAATGTCAGCATGGTGTTGCTGCATGGATGCGAGCCGCTGCTGCCACTGCTGCTGTTGCTGCATCATGTGGCAATGTGCTTGGTGCAACTGTTCGTGCAAACGTCGCTGCATCTGCTCATGCTGAAGGCCCGCCAAAGATAACTGCTGCTGTATGTGCTCATGTGCACGCTGATGCAATTGATGCAGGTTCTGGTGCAGGTTCTGGTGCAGCTGCGGCAAGCTTTCGCAAACTCTTTGTTGCAATTGCTGCAGTCCTTCAGGCAAAGGAATCAAAGGCATAGGCTGCTGAGGCGGTTGAGGCTGCTGAGGTGGCATTGGAGGATCTGCGGTAACTAAGCTGCTATTGTGCACAACAGTACCGTGCACACATTCGTCTTTCGGGTCAAAGACTGGACTGGCGTTGCCGGAGTCGCCCATGTGAGAGTCGCAGGGGTCGAGCTGTTCGGAGGGCGCATCGTGCTCTGGGATCCAAAAATGCTCCACAGTACTCATTATCTCCAGCCGGATGATTCCATCATTACTAGCAAGTGCCTCACGAAAGGTCTCGTCTGTCAAAGGCTGGCAGCTAGCTACAAGGACTGGATGCATCTTCGACCCTGGAGAGCCCTCACCAAGGACAGACAAGTGTTGCATGACCTCCTCCAGAGTGCATCTCTCCAACGGAAAGCGAAACACTTCTCCATCACTCTTCTTGACCTTGAGCACCACCATGGCTACCGGCCAGCTATCTGAGCCACTGCTGAGCAAAATAGCAAGCATTCAGACTGTTTGAGAAAATCAATACATATTCATACATATTCCACAAAACTATGCATTGAGCATTGAAAGGTCCTGGACCAGTCTCTTCGCATAATCTTTGCGACTGCTCGTCGTCCTTCTTCTTTCTCCTACATTGAACTTTGACAATGCAAAGATTGCATTTCAATCCCAGCAACGGTAGTGTGCAATCACTTTCAGCGGCTTCTAGGTGTGGTACCACTTGAGAAATCTCAAAGACGTTGAGATCTTTCCAATATCCCTGCATTGATGCATTGATTCCTTTGATTCTGTTCACTATGATTCTTGATACCCAACAAACAGACTTAGCTTGCCTCTGCTGAAAGGAGGAGGCGATCTAGCTGCCCCTAAGTTCACTTTCTCGTTCCGTGGGTGGGCTCTTTTCGTCTGAAAAGGCAAGATGCATTGTTTGGGCCTAACTTTTTGCCTACCTTTTGGCGTTGACCGAATCTGAGAATCACGCCTCGTTCTCTAGTCTTGCCAAGAGGTCTACGACTTTTCGGTATTCAGATGTCTGGCCATGCAGGTGGCACTTTCTCAATGAAATAAGCAACAAGAATGGTCTACAGAGTATATAAAGATTATAAAGGTCATTAAAGGTCTATATTCTAAAAAAATGCACCGAGAGAATATGCAACGTCAGCTGCACCTCGACAAGTGCTTTGAGTCTGGGGTTGATATACCTCGACAGGCTTCGAAGCCAGGTCTGAGCAGGAATCGTCATTGAACCTGATATATCCCGGGAGGCTGGGACTGATCATCCACCACTAGTAGCTTCTTGTTCCTAGTAGCTTCTTGCTACTAGTAGTAATGGCCTCCACCCTAGTAGCTTCTTGTTACATTGTTACTAGTAGTAATGCCAAGAGCTACTAATAGCGTCATTGCTACTAGTAGCTTTTTGTTGCTAGTAGCGATGGCCTCCAACCTACTTGCGATGGCCTCGGCCTAATAGCATTGTGGTGACATAGTGATTGCCTGTTCCAGACATGGACCTGCCGAAGCTACCAGATTCTCTAAGCTCCACTAGTTGCGCGTTCCTTGCAAGGATTGTGAGCTGGCACCCCTCAATGCTCCCTAGACATTTTCTGACAATCGACACTGACCCCGCTTCACAAATCTGTGACTTTGTCTTGGGTTTTGCAGTGCAGTACTTGCACAATTTGCTGTACTGGCAAAGGCGGGCCGGGTTCCATTTACACGAGATTGTTCCAGCCTCTTTGTTTGATTTGCCCATGGAATGAGTTGCACTTATCGTTTATTCAAAGCAGGAACCACTTAGAAAACGGAGATTCCCCCATTGTGAGCCCCAAGTCGTCGCCGCTTTCAAGTGTATTGGAGCTCACTATAATCAGCAGGCCTGCTGGTCGTCCTTGTTTTGTCTCTGCTCACTTGCTTGGTAAAGTCTGAGCGCAGAGCCCTCGGTATCTTTCACCCTTCTTCAATTTGGTCACCTTGACAGAAGGTGGTGGCACCTGGGTCTCATGTGCAGCTGTGGCTTCCGTCTTGCCGGGCATGCCGGCAAATTCTATGGAATCCTGTTGAGTGCAGCACTCTTTTGGTGAGTGCTGAACCTGTTTTCTTTCTCGCAATCGGTGCGGCCTCAAAACAGAAAGACCTACAAGCCTTTCTGAGAATCAGGGTCCACAGGGTCCTCCCCGCTTGCTCCCAATAAGACACCAACTGTGGCAGCTAGTTCTACGCGACCTCGGAGAGAGTGGCAATTGGCTGATGAATAAACTATCAAAACACACAAGCACCACAGAAACTCCTCAGGAAAGAGGAAGCTGGCAATCTGGGGATTCTTGCTGTCTTCTCTCTGAACATCAGGGAGTCTCCACAAGGAGACCGGCCTTGTGCGTGGCTTTCTCAGTTTGTTGAGGATTTATTGTTGCTCAAAGGGCTTGGAGCCCATGGTGCCTTCCGCAAAATACTCCGAATGCTGGGAAAAGAAGGCAAAGCCAAGACCTGACAAACAAAGCAGTCTCCGAAAATATCATGACAACAACGTTGGTTGTCAATTGGCCAATATCAACTAAATTAAATATGAAGGGAGTCTCAGTTCATAACCAACCAACGCGGTTGTGCAAGACCTCAAGGACTTCCAAACATGCGAACAGGGCCGCCAGCGATATTGCGGCCGATTCCCCAGGACCACCGCGTGCGTGCTTCTACGAGATGACCTGGTCAAATGAGTGTCAGTTGAACACACTCCAATCTTTGACATTCAGACCCTGTGATACATTCCATAGTTTTGCAGCTCCATACTTTGTCATGGCCTGAAGGCAGACCATGCGGCTCCAACCGCAGGAGTGGCCATGCCCCTAGGACGGGCCAACGCGGTCACACAGATTTTGAGGAGGCTGTATCGGCTGAAAACCTGTGAATCTACACGAAGCTATAGCTGATCATGGCCCCGGGGTCGCCAGTCTGTTTCTCCCTTTTTAGACTCCGTTGCTAGTGTTGAGCAGCGGTATGGCAAAAGGTACTGTAGCAAGTATTTCATTGGTAATGAAAAAAACGTTGAGTTGTTAAAGTACCAACAAGTGCAGAGAATCTACAGTGATGTCAATACAGCTTGCAAATTGCAAATAAACTGCGAACACGGCAAAATTATAGCAGCAGCGCTAGATAGCACTAGAAACAGCAGCAGAAGCAAATGTTCCTGATATTGGTTCAAGCTTTGTTGTAGATCGCAGATTGTAGTCAAGGCAAGAGAGATCAAAACAACTTGTTCTCAGGATCAAAAAATCATTATCAGGATCAATAAGAAGCAATAGAAAGAATGAAGGAAGGAAGGAAGGAAGGAAAAGGTAAGCCTTTGGACATTGGGTTGAAAAAGGGTACGGTATGGTGTCTTGAAAAACCGTTCAAAACAACCCATGACACAATTCTAGGAACAGATTTTATCTAATTCTAGGGTTTCGTTTGTTCAGCCCCAAGACCTGTTTTTTCCAGTGAACATTTCTGCAGCGGTTGGCCATGTTGGCTGCTAGGGGGAGGCGCTGCGTCTGTCTCAACACCAGCGACAGGAGCAAAAACAATACAGTAGTTTTTTTGTGGGTTCCTGGCTCTGCCAGAAAGCATGGTCTTTCTGGGTTGTTTTTTTGTTGGGTTGTCTTTTGTTTGGTTTGTTCCTTGGTTCCTTGGAAGCATTCGGGAGACGTTCATCCGGTTTGGCATTCTGGGATGTTGCATGGGCACTCAAAACTCTTAGCTGGGATTACCCAGCCACGACTAGATTGCTACATGTTCTTTCAGGCACTGACAGTTCTGGCGCTGCCCGCAACGTTTGCTTTGTCCTGGGTGGGTGTTTGATTCCTTACATCCTTCCCAGTTCATGCGGGAAAGTTGCTATCAATTCATTTGGCTTCCCAGCTGCCATTCAAAATTAGACATGGGTCCGTTGGATGGACACGAATGATTCACTTGGTTATGATGATAGCTTCCATCCTATTTTTTGGTCACAGATGTGTGGCGCAGGGTTTCTCTGGGCAGAGTGGGGCCGTGCGCACAGCAATTCGGCGCTTAAATTCGAGCCCCGCCCGAAGACCCTTCGTTCGTGGAAAACAGAACCGTTATGAGTCCATTGTGTGCGAGCCGCCGGTTCTGCATGCTGCTGGGGGAAGGTATTTGCACGCTGACCTCGACCGGATAGTTTGCTTAAGATCCTGATACGCCATGAAGGTGCCATGGTTATAGAGGCAGTTGATCTTCAAGCAGGACTTGTCAGGAACGTCATCGTTCATCCTTGGGTCTTTGGCAATGTGAACAAAAATGGATATTGAAATTTTGGGGTGTCAAGCTTCAATCGTTCTGAAGGAGGTAGCAGCAGAAGAACAGTGGCCAAAAAAAGTAGCGGTTGGACACCAGGGTGAAGCGTTAATTGTTTTTAACCGCGCTTTTTTTTTTTTAATGGTTTTTGTTACTTAAGTGTTTGAGACTGCGGCCTGTGTTTGCTTTTTGTTGTTTAGTTTTTTGTGACTTTGATCGGTTCTGAGGGTCTTATATAACGCTACGGCCACTGCAATGGCTTGATTTGATTTGTGTTACTCTCGACCTTTGCTGCGCGCAGATCCGCAGCCTGCCCTCTGGCCTGCTACGCAAAACTGTTTTTCTTCCACCAGGCAAACGTTTTCAGAGCATCAACCAATCCTTGTATGGTCGATGCTCAAGAGGTGCTTGGGATGGTTTCCAAGGTGTTGGCTTGCTTGGCCGGCAGCATCAAGAGATGTCACAAGAGGGGCCAATCCGGGTGACCGCCCCAGCCAGAACATCAACATGAGTGCGCTTTGGAGACATACGAGCGACTTTGTTGGTCTTCGCAAGCACCTCTTCAACTTGGAAAACTCAGCTTCGCTGGCATTGTCCCCTCCTACCGTGGCGCCTTTCCTTTTGGCTGGAGTAAGACCGCCGCAGCAACCTCACTTGGCCCTTCGTCAGAGTGGACAAGCGCATCTTGATGACTGGTGTCATCTCCTCCTTGGAAGGAGTTTCAAGTTAGTGAATTCAAGGAGGCACTTCAATTTTGCCCGTTCCTCTAACCGAAAACTTGAGGCCGAGGGTAGGTGACGAAAGCTAGCAGGGGTGCATCCGGACTGGTGGGACATCAAGCGGAGTGAGGCAAATGCTCATGAGGTAAAACGTTGTGAACATGTAAGACACACAAACAGCAATGACACAGCCAACCTTAGAATTGAAGTCCCCGATAATTAAGGAAGCGTGGCTGGACTTTGCCACACTGTTCGATGCATCCGATGTGTTCACGAACCTGTGAGCTTGTTGAATCTGTTGCACCGTATCCCAAAACCTCCACGGAGGAGTTGAACCAGTGTGGATGCCATAAGAGGTGCCCAAGAGGTGTCCCAGAGGCAAAACAAAGCTGCTTGCATGACTTGTTTGGTTTCTTCTATCGATGTCGATGTCATGAACATGTGAGCTTGTTGAATCTGCTGTTGGATCGTCATGATGCTAGTTTGACTTTGGAAAACGAAAGGTTCTTTGAGCCAATCGCATCCGAAGTATGGGGCTCAGGGAGGCTTTTGCCACTGGAAGTGGCAATCGCATAGAGGATGTGGAAATACATCCTAGGGCCCTTACTCCCGGCAGTCATAGGATGGCCATGGCAGCTGGGGCACATCGAGGAGCACAACTTTGAGGAGAACCTCACTGATGTGGATCCCGGCGGTGATGCTGTGCCGCCGAGCAACAACACCTACCGGAAGGGCGATTTCTGGTGGTTTGAGGGGACGATCTGGGGCTTTTGGTGGAGTGCCGATGGCTTTGGAGAGGATGCCCCATGGTTCGGGACACCGGAATTGCCCGGACGCCTGAGGGTTGACGGTGGTTGGGCTGGCTACTTCGTGGACGGCATTGGGGTGCAAGCTTTCGGTAGCTGGTGGCCTTGGGTGGCCTGCTTCGTCATGGTGACCTTCCTGACCGGGATTTTCGGGATCTTGACGTACAGTTTGCACACCTTGACGGGGCCATGTAGGGCTTTGGGAAGAGGAGTGCATGCTCTTTGCGGCCTATGCTGTTGCAGGAGGCGCGATGGTCTTGATGCCCACCTACCTAGTGCAAGGCCTTTGATGAGTGAGATTGAATGGCATGGACCAAAGACCGGTTGGCCGACAGAAACCAGGTATTTACAGCAGCGCTTGAAGGGGCGCGGTAGCCGGCGGCGCCTGAATGACGTGGTGGTTCGTCGAGGAGGGCATGTGGCTCGACTGCTTCAGGAAGAGAGCATGCTGAAACGGATTGACAGCGATGGGCTACGTGTGAAGTTCAATGGAGTCTCCGGCTGCACCTCTCGGCAGTTCCGACGAGAACTTGAAGAAGCAGGTGAAGTTCATCTTTGTCGACAACTTGAATGCCGAGCTGATCACACCATGCATATCCAGGAGTTCGCTGGCGTTGATCACGAGGCCTTATTGGATCTACATCGCTATGCCCATGGCTCACCACGTTGGCTCCTTGGTCTACTAGGACGAGGGCTATGGCGCGCTTTTGGGTTGGTTGCGAGGCTCACTCGCTGCTGCTGCCGCATCTGTTGTGTGAAAAAAGGGGAACCGTGTCATTCGTGACGAAGACGGACATGAACGGATGCTTGACCCCGACTCGGAGTCTGAGGTGGAGGGCGACGAATCTTCGTGCCAAGGAGTGCGCATTGGTTTGGTGATCGAGGGTGAAATGAGGCCCTTAGCACCTGATGGTTGCAATGACATGGCAACGCAGGAGGAGACCACGCTTCTGGACGAGGACATCGAGGTCTCTGATGTGCGCCCGCCTGGACCAGGACAACTAGCACGCGTACCACTCTGTGCTCATCATCGCCAAGTATATCAGGGAGCAGCAGCCAAGCGAAAGTGTGGGGTACTGACCTGCCACAAAGCATCCAAGGGAGCACGGCATGGAGTCCCGCTCTGCTACGACCACCTGTGTGAACAAGGAGGGTCAGGACTGAGGAAGGACAGCCCCCATCCTAATGGTATGCTCCAAGGGCTTAGGCGGAGGTTCACGAGGAGATCAACAAGTCGAAGCCGGAGCCCAGCGCTTGAGCAGCAGCCGGATGGAGGTGGCATTGAGAGGCACCCCGACTCTGGAGGAGTTCGGAACAAGAAGGAGAGCGGCATGGCACCTATGAGGTCGAGCTCTGTCGACCTTGGCAAAGTGATGATCCCATCGCCACCCAGAGGCATGCTCGACCAAGATGATGTCATGGGGAAGCCCGTGTGGATGAAGATAAAGCTCAACTACACGGAGGGGCAGCGAGAGTGCGAATGGATCATGTGCCTAGGCGAGCTCGTGGGCTACACACCTGGAGGAGTTCGAGGTGACCGGAAGCTCGAGATCCACACCAAGTACATCGAGACCACCATCGTTGTCGATCCCAAGTACCTGGAGGACATGACCGAGGCCAAGAGTGTGGAGGAGCTTGACCCTCTTAAGGCCCAGCTCCTGATCAATGACATCCCGCAAGACGCTGCATGCATTGGATTAGACATCAAGGGCTACATCGTCCCGGAACACCTGGTGCAGCGTTTGAAATCGTGGGAGGGGCGAACCATTGGCAGCGGTAGACGTCTGAACCAACTGCAGGTTGACTATGTCAAGAAGAACATCGCCACCCTGGTGCGCAAACACAGTGCGGGCTTTGTTAAAGGAGAGGTCTGGCCTAGTTGGCCGGCTGAAGCCGAGCTCGGGCTTGATGTGCAAGTTCGTGGACGCGCTGAAGCCCAACCTGTCGGAGCCCCGGAGGAGCCGAGAAAGAGATCACGTAGCCGGAGCCATAGCTTGGCCAGGGTCATGAGAGAAGAGGACGAAGTGAAGCAGAAGATGGAGGTGGTTCGCAGGGATCGGCATTTGTTTTCATGGGGAGGAACCTACCCAGATGACAGATGGTTTGGACGCGGCTGGGGACGTTGAAGGCGACGAGATGACCGGTGAGGGTATTGTCGAGGCCTATGCGACAGCCCTTGTATCAGGCCAAAACCATCAGGAGGCACTCGACACGATCCAGATGATCTTCGAAGTGGACTTCAGCGCCATCCAGAGCACCCTGAGGAACTACATCCGCAGGAACTGTGGGAAGCAGAATGAGCAGGTCGAGGTGGCGATCAAGATCCTCAAGGGCGCAGGAGCACCGAGCTACAACGTGACCAAGGATGAGGCCAAGCCGCCCAGCGCACAACCAGAGCAACCCGCACCAGGAGAGAAGAGATTGCAAACGACCTCAGACAAGCTGTTCCCATCACACTTCGGATCCGCAAAGGATGAAAGCAGCCTCATTCGCCCAGCAGGCAGCATTGGCACCCAGAACCCTTTGACAGTGAGCGATATGGGGTGGTGGGACAACTCTTCGGGCTTGGGAGCAAGTTGGATGACACCTCAACACGTGCAGGAGCCGGAGGTGACGAAGAAGATGGGCAGATGGGAGCTCGCGTCGTGCACGCTTTGGAGGGCCTCCGGAAGGCCACGGAAGGGGACAAGAAGGGCAACTCGGGGACAAGAAGCTCCATTGGCTCAGAGGAAGGCCTGCACGTCTACGTAGCCCGGGGATGCAATACCCTAACCGTGGAGGTCTGCCCCGATGTCACCGGGAAGGAGCTGTTCGATGCGTTGAAGAGAGCCTGCTCACATGCCAAGGCCAAGCTGCAACAGATCGAGTGGCCCTGCTTGGTGACGAATGGCATCGCCTATGGACTCGCAGCCATGCAGCATGGTGGGAAGGATCACACCACGTTGGCGCCGTGGCAGTTGAGCGTGGCGCATGCGGTGACGGCCAAGCCAAGAGACTTCGACCAGTATGAAGCGCCCAAGGACGACAAGATCGAGCCGAAGCCAAGGTACCCAACCCACTTCGCTACCTGGTTGAAGCAGGCGAAGAATGAGATCAAAATGATCGGATCAGTTTTGGGCTTGGAGCATAAGAAAGAACGGCTCAAAGCCTTGGATCAGATCGAGAGAGCTCATGAGCAGGATTCGGACGTTTGGCCGGAGAACTACTGCTACAGCCTGTGGGAGGAGCTCAAAGCCGCTTGGGTTGAAGAGTTGAGGGAGAGCCGCAGACAGCTTTGCAGGATCCTGAACACTGACAACCCGCGCAAGGAGGACCTCAAGTTCGTGGCGCTCGCACCGGATAGTGGTTTCCATTTCCCCAGGACCTTCGACTTCGCTCATCCCGAGGGCTATTACCAGCAGGTGTGCGTCCCGAGGCAAGCAAGAGCTTTGAAGGGAATCATCTATGGGCAGCTGCACCACAAGCGTCAAGCACCCAAGGTGGGAGGAGATCAACATGGAGGAGAAGGTGAACACCATGGTGGTGATGCCGGCGGCGATGATGATCGTGTGGGACGAGGCCGAGACCGTGGCGGTGACAAGGACAAGAAGAAGAAGGAGAAGGAGCGAGACGAAAAGAAGGCCTACCCGGCCGGTAAGCGGCTGAGGCCAAAGGAGGCTGCGGAGTCGGTCAAGCATGGACCACGGACGAAGGAAGGGAAACCCATCTGCTGGGACGGTGCCACACACATGGGGTGTAGCAGAGGTAAAGACTGCAATCATGCTCACCAGCCTATCACCACTACGAAAGGCCTGCGTTGGACGGTGCTGGCGCAGCTGATTCGCCGTGGTGGACTGAAGAGTGGTCCGATGATCCAGCCAGGCCAAGTTGATGGCAGGATCGCACAGCTGAGGGCGCAAGCCAAGGCGGAGCAGGATGAGAAGGTGAAGGACAGTGGCAGCCAGAAGCAAGGGTGGCTTCCCCCGGAAGAATATGAAGGAGTTCAATACACCCAGCTGGAAGATGAGCTTCGGGAGTTGACCCGGGGGCCGGACGTGAACTGGCTCAGAGACCCGATGCTCGATGGTGGGCACAAGCGGCACATCACCTGGGAGAAGAGGGTGGAACATCCTGAAGTTCAGCGCCGCCTTAAAGTCCTTGAAGGTATGGAGAGAGCTGGCGTGTTCACCAGGTTGAGCAGTTGGTCCAGCTATCTTCAATCCCATGTGAGGGGCAGGATGCTCAACGCCGTCATTGAGAAGCAGGAGATGACGATCGATGACGTGCTCCTTGAGGCTACGGAGAAAGGGTGCCCTGAGCTGGCGCAGGAGGCGGAGAAGGTTCTCAGCGAGGAGCGATCGGTCGGATGGGCCGATGACGAGAAGCAAGCTTGGATCAGTGCACCAACCTGGCAGAAAGACAAGGGCTATGGCGAGGGAAAATTCGAGTTCCAGTGCGGGGCAGAAAGTATTTGCTGGCGCTACCTGGACTATAAGGGCTCCAGACGAACTAGCGAGCGCTTTGGGACTACAGCCTGGAGAAGATGAAGAACGCCAATGTCTTGTCCTACACCCCGCAGCTGGCATTTTGCTTTGGGAAGGCGATTGGGACCCCGAGCGCAGGCCTAGCATCGAGGAGGTGAAGCAGAAGGCGCAGGTGTTCAGAGCAGAGCTTTGGGACGAAGCAGCACGAGCCATTGCGGAGTTGGGGGATCCAGCTCCTTGGATCGGTGCTCGCGAAGCAGAGGTCCGTGGCTATGCACATGACTGCCTTCGAGCCAACCACGACAAGGACTATACAGACTATTCCAGGCCTTCGTGATCGAGGAGCTGCGTGATGTGACGCTGCAGTGCTGGAGATTGAACTGCCGTGGGCAGTTCCAGGTGGACCACCTTGTGGGAAGCAACCCCGGCAGTGAAGGACAGATCATTCCATTTCTGATCCATGGCGGTCACATCAGGCTCCTGGTGCCCAATGAGAAGGAGGAGCCGGTCAAGGTGGCGGCACAGCTGACGCTTAGCGGCCAGACAGATCGAGAATGGCAGTGTGAAGGTTGGAGAGAGTTCTTGGCCAACGAGGACACAGCAGCTCCATTGGTGCCAGGGAAGAGACCGAGGTGCCCAAGATGCATGGATGGCAATTCGAAACAAGGCAAAGCGCAACCACAGGTCCCATGGAGCTTCAACGAGCACCCCATCGACACGCAAGAGCTGATCCTGATGGGGGCCCAGATGCCTTTGAAGCATAGGCCATCATTCGCATACGGAGTCCGGGTGCAGGAGATGTTTGCCGGATCCGGAGCTTGGACACAAGCAATGGGCGAAGCGGGCATAGCCTTCAATGAGCCAGTCGAGCTGTATGGCGACCCCCTCCAGAAGCAGGACAAGCGAGACCACTTTGACCTGAAGAATGAGGCCGTGGCAAATCGCTACCTCCAAGCTGCGATGGAGCTCCCGGGCCCGCACGCAGCGAACATCTGGGAATTTGGAACGCCCTGCACAAGCTATTGTGACTTCAACCTCTTGAACGGGGGGACACGCAGCTTCACCTCGCCTGAAGGAGGACCAGTTCCAACACAGAGCGAAGAGGAGGGCAACTACTTCTGTGAGCTGACCAGCCGACTCTGCCAATCGCTCTACGATCATGACAAGGAATTTGTGCTCGAGTCGTCGATGCCCTCTGGAAGGTATCCCAAAATTTGGGATCAGCCGGCGATTCAACGCCTGCAACAATCCACTGGAGCGCTCATCGTGCCCACCCATTTGTGCGAATGGGGCGCATCACCGAGCGACAGGCCCGAGATGAGATACAAGAAGGGTCAGTGGAATCTAGTTTCTCCTGGATTGTACCTCCATGCACTGTTGCTATCTCGCCGTTGCCAAGGGAAACATCGCCACATGGACGTCAAGGGTGAGTCGGACATCCCAGGAGTACCTCGGACAAGGCGAGCACAGGTGTATCCAGCACGTCTCTGCGCTCGTGGTGCAAGCGGCATATGCTGGCTGGGACACTATGCAGGTGGCACAAGCCTTGGAGGTCATTCAAGAGGACGATGGCCGAGAAGGGGCACTTCCATACAAGGCGAAGGCGGGGAAGCTCGCCACCCCCTACACTTCCGCTACTTCCTCCTCTTCATCCACTCCATCGCCAGGTGAACGATGTGGCAGCGCTGAAGGTTCAGAGTTCCAAGGGGGCTTTTTCATCCTTCGTGAGCACTACTGTGGCAGCATTGGGGAGAGCGAGTTTGCGCAGGGCATTCCGATCCCACCCGAAGAGCTCCTGGAAGGCGAGGGGGAGGAAGAGGAGTCGATGAGCGACGATGACCGGCGCATGAACCCGCGTGACGAGGCGGCGGTGATGGCCAGGCTCATCCCTCGTGAAGTGGCTCCAGATGAAGCACCGGATCCTGTCCGTCCTTATGAGGGTAGGATCAATGTATTTGGCCCTCCAAGACCACTTGAGGGTTTGAATGGCCGCTCCGAGGATTGGTGGGACTACCAGGAGGACACCCTCTTCCTTGTGCGCCACCACGTGATGCCTCGGAGGAACATGTTCGGCTCGCATTACGGAGACTGGATAGACTGTCCAGTCTCGGACCACCTGATCCGGAGTGATCGCAGGACCTGGATGTTCCCTCAGAGGCGTGACCTGGCTGAGATTGTCCCACATGAAAGAGTTTTCCTGGACAACTGGCGGGTGGACTTGGCACGGCTCCGTGACATCCCTGACTCGATTGAGGCGGAATATGCTGATTGGACAGGAGCCACCACATTCTACCTCTATGACCCGGAGATTAGGCCGGAGCTCGGGAGGCACTTTGGACACGGGCAAGAAGAAGGGGAGGGTGAGGACGCTCAGCATGACGCAAATGACGGCCTACAGCCAGGACTCCCTGAAGGGCGTGACTATGTTCCGGTTTTCCGTGCACCACAGGAGTTCGACCCACCTTCTCAGGCCCAAGTGGAGGCAGCAAGACGGTACTACCCCGGAGGCGGGGTGTGGGACCCTTGGAATGGAGGCCGCATTGAAGGCGAGGAGCACGACAACAGCGAGGCGGCAGACCGACCTAGGAGTTCAAGTGATCGACCCAGGCGTTCCAGATCAAGGTCAAGGGGGCGCGCTGCAACTCAGGACGGTGATGGATCTGACCGGAGAGTGGGCTACCTGGCGGCATCCTACGCACTCGAGCAGGAGGAGGAACAGGCATGTGGCTGGCTGGACCATCGCCCGGAGTTTGAAGAATCTCACCAAGTTGGCTATGGGGATACCCATGCCAAGAATGAGGGTGTGAGCCAGGAGGTCTTCGACAAAGCCTTGAAGTACATGGAGCATTGCAGGGAGCACCCCAAGTACGACGCCGAGGTGATCAAGACCGCTGTCAAGCTGGGTGATGACCTGCTGAAGACAGCCAAGACGCTCGAGAGCGCGATGAGGGGCCTTCGTGAAGCGAGACGCAAGGTGATTGGGGTTCCTACCAATGGTGCAACTTCGAAAGAGGTCCTGGACTGCCTGGAGGCCGACCACGCCGACTACCTCAAGGCCATGAATGGAGAAGGGTTACGCACACGCAGGTACTACCCACCGAGGAGGGTGAAGGCAGAACCATACCCATCAGCTGTGGACCACCCTGAGGAGATGTACCAGAAGGCTTGGAAAGACGGTCACTGGGGCATTGTGCTCTTCGCGTCGGACTTGACTGAGGAGTACACCAAGACCCTCATCGAGTGCCCGCAGGGGCGCGTGCCTAAGCAGCTACCGGACAGGAGCATCAGTGCGGAAGGGCGGCCCATCCATGCGATGATGACTGCAAATGCAGCCACCCACAAGTACCAACACCCTCCAGCCGTACAACCACGCCATCGGCAGATTGCCCGCAAAGCAGTAAGCAGTTTGGTGGAAAGCTTGCCACCCGGGTATCAGATGCCTCATAGCCAAGCTGGACGTGAGCAGGGCCTTCAAGTGGCATGACGTGGCGCCGGAGGACACCTCAGACTTCGGCAGCGCCCTACCAGGTGATCCGGTGGGTGTAGAAGGAAGGGTGAAGATGATCTATGGAGGCCTTCCCTTTGGCTGGTGTGGCGCACCGGGTGAGTACATGGCGTTCGCTTTGGCAGGAAGGGCATACCACGAGAACTTCAAGCCCTCCGAGGAGACCATCAATGGCCCGAGCCCATTCTCATCGGAATGGCTGATGGACGACAGTGTTGTTGTGGAACCCTTGGTGGGCGTCCGCCCATGGCAAGCTGTGGACTCACTTGGGCACGCCATCGAGAAGATCTGGGGTCAGGACGCCTTGAACCTCGAGAAGCAGATCGAGGAGGGCACACCCGCGACGGAACAGATTGTCTGGGGCCTGTTCATGAATGTCGACAGCATGACCATTAGGCTGCCTGAGCCGAAGGCCTTGAAGATGCGCTACCTACTTGCACTTCCTGAGCTCCAATATGGAGAACGCATGGTGTGCTTGAAGGTGGCTCAAGAACTTCGGGGGCTGGGCCAGTATGCAGCCATCACTATACCACCACTGCGCACTGAACTCAGTACGATCGACCTCTTCCTCTGCCCCAGTCGCTGCGAGGGTGGCTACATCCGGCCGAATGTCAACGACGAGGAGAGTTCAGAGCGAGCCTGGCGTTGCTGGGACGAGATGCTGGCCTTGTTGAGACTTTGGTTTGAAACCCCGTACGAGGGCACGTTTGAGGCTTCAATGGAGAGCATGCTGACGACGCGCGAGCTCCTGGCGCTGCCCGGGATGAGTGAACGGCTGCGCTGGGTTGGAGGAGATGCAACGCCTGAAGTTGCGGGAGCACTCGACTGGAAGACCAAGCGCTACATGCGGGAAGACGCAAGGGAGATGCTGCATGCCTTGGGCAAGGTCCCGGAGCTTGTCGACGACCCGGAGATGAAGATTGCCCTGGCGGAGCTCCTGTGCTTTGTTGGCCTTGCCGCAGCTGAGAGTCGCGAATGGCAGGGCGAACTGATCGCCTATGCGACTGACAATCAGAATGTACGCTCTTGGCTGACGAAGCGTCAGTCGAAATGTGCAGTGGCTCGCCATATGCTTCGGATTTTGGGCATGCTGGAGGTTCGCTTCCACTTTAAGACAGTGGCTTTCTACATCCGGACGTACCACAACATCACGGCGGACTGGCTGAGCCGGGAGACCAAGAAGGTCGTGGAAACCCAGATGGAGCGCGATGGGTGGTCGAAGGTGGAGGTCGGTGAAAACTGGGCTCACTACATCGACGAGTCCGTGGCGGGGATCTTCCGATGGCCTGGAGGGGAGAGCTTGGGCAGTATGTCTCAGGCGCCAAACGGTGAGAACAAGCCCTACCGCCCTGTAGTCGCCTCGGGGTATGCCGTGGAGCTCGGACGGGGCATGCTGCCCTGGGTTGTTGCCTGGCATCGTCTAGGGGGTCAAGTTTGCAGGATTGACGCCAAATGCACACCCTTGGATGAGAAGCTCGAGAGGTCCCTCTTCCATGACATTGACCTGGTGACGGAGGAGATCGAGTTGTCGTGGGCTTTTGCCTCGGTTGCGGAGGACAGTTGGGGAGGAAGCCGCACCTATGTTAAGAACTTCGTGAAGAAGCACCGACCACGATGTGTGTTGATCGATGTGGCTAAAGACGGCCCGGTCGATGATCTTCAGATGGACCTGGAAAAGCTGGGCTACAAGACGAGTACCTTCGACTGCCTGACGACGCACTACGGGGACCCGGTCGCGAAGAGGAAGGTCATTGTCCTTGGGGCACTTCACGATGGACGTCGCGGCGGTGATGGACCATGAATGCCGCCGAGGAGCGCGGCTGAGCCGGCAAGCATCCAACGCACTTTGGATCCAGCTGCAGGATCAGTGAAGCCAGAATGGCTTGACCGAAACACAGAGCTGACCCTGAACAGCAAGATCTCGACATCAGGAGACCGCATGCTTCCATGGCCTGCAGGCCATTTCCGGGAGAACCACATAGATGACCAGAAGGAGCTCCTCTACGACATCCGAGGCCCAGCACTGACTTGCCGGAAGGGGAGATCGATGGTGGTCCTCGATCACCGTGGTACAGAAGTCCAAGCACGGAGGCTCGGGCCAGAGGAGGAGTGGTTGCTCAATGGCGGGCGGCTTGATGACGTTCGTGCACTACATGAACTGGGGTCGAGCCAGGAATACTTCAAGAAGAATGCGGCGATGAAGTTCCCACAACAGAGCGCCCCCAGAATCGTTGCTTGGTTCGAACGCTGGCGACAGGATCAGGAGACCGCTGACGCTTCGTCTGAGGCGAAGGTGGGGGTGTGCACCGACCCGGACAGGCTGAAAGCTGATGAACATGTTCGGGCCTGGATGCGAGCTTGGCAGGGAGATCATCAGAACCCCCAGGCAAACTATGAAAAGTGGTTGATGTCTCATAGGCATGGGATTGAGGAGGTGGACAAGGTCGGCGGCCGCAGACAAACTCCATCGAAGAGGGCGAAATCCGCACCACCTGACCGACTGGTGCTGCCTAGTGCAATTGGACGAGGTCGCGAGCGGCTACAGTTGGACGCCAACAAGGAGCTTCGTCGGGATCAAGCCTGGTTGGACGCACTGGCAGCGGAGGCGGTCATGTCCAAGCTCTCGGAAGGAACCCGCGGAGGCTACGAAGTTGGCTGGAAGCAATGGTGTTTGTGGCGACGCATGGGCAACAAGAGCGTCTACCTGACAGGGGAGACCAAGGACGAGCGGAAGGCCGATGAAGACGAGCTGCTGAGGTTCATGACCTACCTGGCGCACGTCATGCATGGGGCGGACCGAAGGGACGGTGAAGCAGCGGCTTTTCGCGATCAAGATGGGCCATTTGGTGGCAGGGCACGATGACCCCACTATGAACAGAGTTCGCATCTGGGCAGCACTGAATGGTTACAAGCGATGGCAACCAGAGACGAAACGCAAGTACCCGGTGCTGCCGGGGATGTTGACCTGGATCAGGCGGCACCTGAGCACCAGTGAGACGCTGAGCAAATGTGACCAGGTGATCCTATGGGCTGCCATCATGGTGGGCTTCTTCTTCCTCCTGAGGGCTTCGGAGTTCCTGGTGACGATCGGCAGGAGCTGGGGCAGCACACGGACTTTGAAAGGCAGCGACATCAAGGCTCGCAAGGACAACAAGCAGGTGGCGAACTTCTACCAGGCCGAGGAGATCGTGATCTACCTCAAAGGGTCGAAGACGGACCAATACAACCAGGGCACTGTGCGCAATCAGTTCCGGAGTGGCGATGAACTTTGCGTGGCGGCGGCGCTCGCGGACTACCAGAACATGAGGCCTGAACGTTTTGCGGGGGCAGAAGAAAACCAGCCCCTGTTCAGGTTTGAAGATGGCAAACCGCTGCAACGTGGTGATATCCAGAACCTGATCCAGTTGGCGGCGGTGGCAGATGGGCAATCCACGACCAGGTACGGCTCTCACAGTCTTCGCATTGGTGGGGCTACGGCTATGTACCAAACCACCAAGGACCTGGACGTGGTCAAGAGGTTTGGAAGGTGGAATTCCGACGCCTTCCATGGCTACCTATGGGAGTCGCATGAGCGACAAAAGGATCTCGCAAAGGGGATGGCACGCGCTGATGGTCAGCTGCTGGCACCCAGGAAGAACAAGGGCTATGAAGCTGAACGCCATCCCCTCGAGAAGTCGAAGGCAGTGAACAACCAGTCGCGACAGCATGGCACCGCGAGAGTGGGAGCTCTGATCGACGAGGGTGAGCATGAAGCCTTAGGTGACTTCAGTGACGAAGAGCATGGAGCACGTGGCTACATCATCCCGAGCGTCGAGGAGATCCCCGCTGAGGAGAGCTATGGCGACTATGGAGATGGAATGGAAGTACGGCCAAAAGGGCTGCGAAGCAGAGGAAGCAAGAGCTCAGACTTCAGCTCGACGGCAAAAAGTACTTCTGCTCCGTTCAGTGTTTGCGAGAAGATCTGAGAACTATATGTAATGAGGGACTGAAGAAAAGCAACGCAGCATCATGAGCATCACGGGAAGTCACAAACCAGGCATATCAGATACACCTGGTTTATGTATGTTTGTTTGAGCATCTTTGTCGAGTGAAGTGTCAGCCATATGCACTGAGATGCCGAAGGAAGCTCAAAGGCACGTGTATCTGATACGCCTGGTTTCTGACTTCCCGTGATGCTCATCATTGAAGCCTTGAACCCTCGCGTAAATTTCATGTTTCATGCCCCCCCTTCCAAACTCAAACAGTGGCCTACTTCACCTGCCACCTAAACATAGCACTATAGCACGTACCGGAAGCGTCCCAGGGGGGAGTTGAACCCGCGGGAGGGGGGGGGGGGCCCCCCTACACGTGAAGTTTTCACGTGATTCATGATTCTCGAGGCTGGGAGCCCTTGACTTGCTAAAGCAAGAGCAACCCCAGCTAGCTGATGCTAGCTTTCGTGAAAACAAACATTTTGTCTGAAACAAGCAAGTAGCCATACTGTGGCGATCAGGAGCAGTAGGCACCTTAAGGTCTTGGAACGCAGCAAGCAAGCCTTTGCCAGCACAGCTGCATGCAAATGTTTTTTCAAGCGCACTGAGATTTCTTGCATCGCATTGTCCGACACAACCCAGACTCTACTCAATGTGGAAATAATAAAATAGGCTGCAAGATCAGCTGGGGTACGACTCATCCACCACAATGACCGGAGCACGTTCATGCAGGTTCGCTCTCCATGAACGTGGAAGGGTACGGGCACATGTCAGAAAGGTTGCGCAAAACCGCAGTCGGAATCAGATGCCAACTGGCCCCCCGCCCACCCACCCCACCCCCCAAAGCCCAACACCAAACCATGTAAAACGATGTTTAAATTTTCCGAAACCCACATTTACCTGGGAGCGCTGTCCGAGGCCTGCGCGGACAACGCGCTCCTTCCAACACAGGGAGTGGAACAGCAACATACAAAAAATAGTCGTGCGTTGTGTTTTGATTGTTTGTTGTCTGTTTGATATATTGTTTGTTTGTCCCTTTGATTGTTTGATTGTTTGTTTGTTTTCTGTGTTTGTGCGTTTGTTTTTTTGATTGTTTCTTTGTTTGTTCGTTCGTTTGCTCGTTTGTTTGTTTGTTTGATTGGTTGTTTGATTGTGGTTGTTTGTTTCTTTGATTGATTGTTTCTTGTTTGTGTTTGTTTGTTTGTCTGTTTGTTTGTTTGTTTGCGTGTTTGTTTGTGTGTGTTTGTTTGTTGGTTGGTTTGTTTGTGTTTGTTTTTGTTCCCCACATCGACGTGTGGGGTCTATATTTTTTTGTGTTGTAACCATCCCGCCCTCTGCCTCCTCCCGCCGTCCGCTTGCCACCAAGCAATTGCCACGAACCAATTTTCAACAACCAATTGTCAACAACCAATTGTCATCAACCAATATTCAACAACCAATTTTCAACAACCAATTGTCAACAACCAATCACCAACCAATTGTCATCAACGAATTGTCGCCAACCAATTATGATTTGCTTGCTAATTGTCTTCTCGATGGGGTGGGACGTACGCCCTGGCGCTGGATGGCGCTGCTGGGTCTCCGCCGCTGTTCCGCTGTGATTTGCGCGCGTGGTGTTCAAAAACACTGTGCTTTACAGGGTTTTGTGGGCGTGGAAGATCCACAATTGGGACAGTGGCGAAATGCCAAAACCGTGGGTTTTACAAGGGTGGTGTCGGTATTGCGCGCCTCGCGGACGTGCATAATTGGAATTTCTTTGCTGATGCGCGCGCGTCAACGTAAATGCTGCAAAGTGCACCGCAAGATGAGCCAAACAGAGGCCCCAAAGATTGGTTAACATAGCCCCAAGATGGCCCCCCGAGATAGGTCCAAGATGGGCTAACATAGCTCCAAGATGGGTTTTGAGGGCCTGTTCTTTTAAAAAACCTTGTCCTCAACCAATTGTCATCAATCAAATGTCACCAACCAGTTGCCACCAATTAATTGTCACCAACCAATTGTCATCAACCAATTGTCATCAACCAGTTGTCATCAACCAATTGCCACCCACAATCAATTGCCACACACCAATTGCTACCAACCAACTGCTACCAACTAATTTTGAGACATATGTATCCGTGGAGGCTAGGGATTCTTGGATCTTTTTTTGTGAAAAAATGAATAACTATGAAATTGAAAATATAGAAAAAATGGTTGTTTATGTTTTAATGAAAAATATATAATAATATGAACGAAATATGAACATAATATTGAAATAGATAAAAATATGAAAATAACCCAAAACTTATGTTTTTCATAGTTTTCTTGTATTCTCCGAAAGTGAGTTTTCCCATTTCATATTTCAGGACTTCATCAGGTTCATATGTTTTTCAGAAAATAAACTGTTCTTCCGTCCATGCCAAGCTCCAGGGTAACTGTGTCTCAAAACTAATTGTCACCAACCAATTGTCACCAACCAATTGCTACCAACCAATTGTCACCAACCAATTGTCGTCAACCAGCTGTCATCAACCAATTGCCACCCACCAACTGTCACCAACAAACTTCCACCAACCAATTGCCACCAACAGACTGCCACCAACCAATTGCCACCAACCCATTGCCACCAGGGAATTAACCAATTGCCGCCAACCAATTGCCTCCAACAAACTTCCACCTACAAACTGCCACCAACCAACTGCCACCAACAAACTGCGACCAACCAATGGTCACCCACCAACCACCAATTGTCCGCTCCTGTGTCTGGTGAAGTTGTGAACATGTGGGGTTATCCGGTCCTATAATTTGTGGGTGTTTGCGTCTGTTTGTTTGATTGAATGATTGTTTAGCCTCTACACACCTTACACCGTCTAGGCTTGAGCTGCCAAAGATCTGTGCAATGGCAAGCATGTTTGATTGGTTCTCTCTTGAAGATGTTTTTTACACATATTTACCTCCGTAATTATTATCAAAAAATCTGCCTTGGTTCTCCTTTGTCGCAAGCTCGCTGGGCTCGCTGGCCAGAAACCGCTGTCATCAAAAAGGTACTCGTTTATGCGGGGGCCCTATCTCGTTCAAATATAGAGTCATAGAGCATGCTGTAGATTACTTTAGTAAAGCCTAAATAAAAGTGGTTGCTCATATGTTTTTGGTGTTAATAGTCTGTTTCGGAATCATCGGATATTGACTAACCCTAACAGGAGGAAAGAGCAGTGGTGATGTGTTGATGTGCAAGGGCAATGGGAGCAAGATATAGCCAGCAGTTTTCAGTTAGTATCAGTTAGTTATTCTCTGATCCTGCGCGTGTGTTTATACAAACACACAAATGCTGTTACCATGCAGTTTCTGCCCTGCCTTAGCCAAGCCCTTTCTTCTCCAAAGAAACAAAGGAACGCGGGAGGTTGAAGTAAAAGAGAGGGCAGCGCTGTGAGCGTGTGTATTTTCCAGTAAAATCAGCTATTTCTAGGTGTCCAATAGAGAAATTTAGCCACATGAAATGCATACGCTTACAGTGCTGTGTCTATTCTATGATATTTTATTTGTTTATTACAGCGTGTCTTCAATGAATGAATGTTCAACTTTGCTTTACTTTGTAAAATATAGTATTGACTGCCCATGAAAACAAAACAGCCAACCGTAACACTTTCAAAATTGAATATAAAAATTACAAAAACTTAGCAAACGTTAGCAAACTTAGCAAACGTTAGCAAGTACACTGCAACGTTACCAAGTACCACCTATATATATAAGTATGGCGACCCGTAGCCGGACTTAGGCCGTTTAGACCATACTTAGCCACATATGATATCAGGAGAGCAACTCCAAAAGAGAAACAAGAAAAACAGTAGCCCCCCCCTCAAATACCAAAAATACCAATCCTATAGAGGAATAGTTTGCCCTCCCTCCAAATACAAAAACATACCAAAAATACCAAAAATATTAAACATACCAAAAATACCAATCCTACCAATCCTCTGGAGACATATAGGCCACCTGAGCAGTATTTCCTCTAGGTCTTTGGTATTTTTTGTAGTTTTTGTCTTTTTGATATTTTTGTTTTTTGTATTTTTGGTATTTTTTGTAGTTTTGATATTTTTAGTGTGTCTGGTATGTTTTTGTATTTTTGATATTGTTTGTTTTTTTTGTATGTTTGGTATTTTTGATATTTTTGGTATTTTTGGTATGTTTTGTATTTTTTGTAGTTTTGATATTTTTTTGCTTTTGGTATTTGGGTATGTATTTTTTTTAGGTTCCCGGGCCGGGATGCTTGACTATGGGGTATGCTTCGGAGGTATGCTTCGGGGGTATGCTTCGGGGTATGCTTCGCGCAGTGTGAAGACTAAAGTAGTAGCATTTTCAGAGGGTATGCTTCAGGGTATGCTTCGGGGTATGCTTCGCCTAAGTCGAACATCCCAGGGGTCCCAGCCCTACATAAACTGGACACCTTAAAAAAAAAGACAAGCCCATTTCCTCTTGGTATTCTTGGTATTTTTGATATTTTTTGTATTTCCTCTACGTCTTTGGTATTCACATATTCTCACGCGCATATTTAAATTTGTTTAGATTTTCCTCTGCATAAGTAACACTGAAAAATACACACACTCACAGCGCTGGTTTCTGAAGTAAAATGGGCAGTCGACCTATGAATTGTTTTGACTGGAATTTGCCATGAAGCTACTACAGTCTGTTTCACAGGTGACGTGCCACAGCTCCGTTCGCAACACACGAACACACATGTGTTTGATGGCTCTCCTTCTTTCACGTGCTCCCGGCTAGTTGTAAACAAGAACACCTGTAGGGTGGATGGCAAGCGTCGTCTTCAAAAACGCCTGTGGCTTCCACTCGAGAGTAATTATGAAAAACAAGAACTCTTAGATCAAACGAAAAAGACCCCCAAAAGAAAACAAAAAACAGAGACATTGTCGGAGTCAGGCTCACGGTTTTTGTCGGGAACGCTTGGACAAAGATTGCGCCAAGTGGAACAAGCAGTAATTAAGTGAGGTAGTGCAAAGTCGAAAGTAGGTAGAAGGGAGCTCAGGATTGTGGCGCAGCAGCAGCAGCAGGGGTGAGAGGTCAAAAAATATTTTTAACGTATGGATAAAAAATATTCTAACGTATCAATAAATAAATACTGACTCAAAAAAGATCCAAATAGCAGTAGCGGTAAGAGTACCAACAGTACTATAACAGCAGCAGTATCGTAGTGGTAGTCGTAGTGTTTCGTGGCAGGTGCAGTACTTTGTGGACCTTGCAATGCACATTTCGTGGCAGGCGCAGGACTTTGTGGATGTTGAAGTGCAGAGTTGGTGGCCAGTGGCAGGCGCAGGACTTTTTGTGGACCTTGAAGTGCAGATTTCGTGGCAGGTGTAGTACTTTGTGGCCCTGGAGTGCAGATTTTGTGGCAGGCGCAGGACTCTGTGGACCTTGAAGTGCAGATTTCGTGGCAGGTCCAGTACTCCCTTGGAGTGCAGATTTCGTGGCAGGCGCAGGACTTTGTGGACCTTGAAGTGCAGATTTCGTGGCAGG